CCATGTATTGTGATGACCAAAATCTTGTTGCACAATTGCCTCTTGTCATCTTTAGCTCGAGCTTCTCGGAATTTGCGAGCGCTATAACACTACTCAGCATCTTTCCCCTTTGGAACGTTGGATGGATATTCTTTGACCTCTTCACAAGAGATGTCAAGAAGCCAGACGATGAGCCAATCTTTCCATCTTTGATATCGAGTATGGCAAGATTTATCCAATGGGATTGGTTCCAAAACTACCACTGAAAACACAGGATCAATCAGGACACCAAGCTCTTAATAAATGGTAGTTTTAAATCCATCTGCTTGATATTGTCCATCACAACAGGTACCTTGCCAGGTTGCTTTCAGATCGAAGCTTTCTTCTTCACCATAGGCTTCTTTAATGGTTTTGACAACTTGTTTTGCAAGCTGGTCTGCACAACCCCCAGAAACACCGTCTTTATTCAGCGAATCTATTGGATAAACCTCAGGCGAATTTACTGGAATTGCGACACGCTTTCCACTAACGACTGGGCATATCATAATGGCGTGGTTGGAAATTCGATGAGGAGTGCTTTTATCACAAGAAACATAGAAATGAGGCTGGAAACCGGTTGAAGGCAAGGGTTTTGCAATTTGCTTGGCTGTCTGTTTGTCAAGCCACACATTTGTTGTCGACAGAATTTCGTTGAAATGGTTTCTACTATCACCAAGATCACCCAAATCACTCCCTGTAGCAATATGTGCTGCTATTTGGTGTTCAAATTGCTGAGCTGCTGATTTCGACTTTACCACAGACAATGATTGATAATAGTATTTATTCAGGAAAACCAACATCACAAGTTGTGTTTTTCAGAAGGTCCCTGAGAAAACTATACAAATACAAAAGATTATACAATAATAATATGCATGCAGGTTATATGCGATGTATATATATAAACAAGAAAAGTTTTAAAAAATAGAACTAAGATAATTATATATTACAAAGAAGAGCTATTTGCAAAATGCGTTCGATTATACTATGGAGATTTAAGAAGTGCAGTATGAAAACTAGCTAGATGGTTAATTGACATAATGTTTTTGTTCAAATCATTATACTCCTTACAAGCTTGGTATAAAAGTTTCTGCTTTCCCCAATTGGTACTAGGTTTGCTGAGATGAATGTGATCTCTTTGTCTCGTGTTATGCAGGTGGTTGGCTTTAGGTAGGTCGAAGTCATAGTCTATCAGGTTATTTTTCAATTTGAATATGGTCAGCATTCGATGTAAGTATCGTCGGTGGGTAAGTGGGTGCCAGTGTAGGTTTGAGAGAGCTTCAGTGGAGGAGGATAGGTAAGGAGCATCAAGAATCGTCTTTGCAGCCTTGTTCTGAAGGATTTGAAGTTGATTCATGAGGGTGGTGTTGTTCTTATCACCCCATATAATATCAGCGTAGTCGAATAATGGGAGGATGAGAGAATTGTAGATTGTAAGTCGAGCTTTTAATGGGATGAAGACCTTAACTCTTCTAAGCAATCCAATACGTTGGTTGATTTTTATCGATACATTACTTATGTGATCGGACCAAGTGAGATTCTCTGAAAAGGTGATTCCTACAATCCTGGCCAAAACTCATGTGGACACTTAAACCACTTTTGCAAAAATCATAACAAACACCTGGAACTTGAATTTACTTGCATATCCCCACTCCTCCTCTTCAATGTTGCTTATCCGACTTAACCACACTTCGTATTTGATGAAAAATCCCATTCAACATTGGCATGGGGGAGCGGGGGGATAATTATTTA